ATACTTTCGTCTAAAGTGGATGAAACCCAACAACTGCTCAATCAGCAGCATACACAAAACATCCAACCCACTTAATCCAACAGCTGGTAGTTCCGGCTCCTAGGGACTAGCCCCACCTACCGAAGAAGGTCTACACTGATTGTCGCAACCGGCTTAACAACAGGGAAGGAGACAGGGATCTCCGATCAGGATCAATGTTCACTTAAGAGACTCCCGGATGAGGGTTTTGGTAAACAAGTCGCCTATTCAGAAGGTACGAGGTCTAGAATCCACGGTGGAATCATACCACGAATATGTCCCCTCTAAGACCCAAGGGACAACTTACCGTTCGGCAACACCTACACGGTACTCAGAGGCCAAGCAATTGAGTCTGTAGAGACATTCAGAGGACTATGATTTCAAAGAGATTCCTAGCCGAGATCCCGTCGTCCGACTTCTTTTTCAGAAGGTTCAGAAGATGGAGAACGACCGAACCCGCTCTCAGGAGCCCAACTGGGGAAAGCTTCAGCCAAGGCCATTCACTGGACACATCAGGCATTCACGGCAGGATAAGGATGTGTAGCCGCTGTGCATACCGTTCTACACCGGGGTACTTGACGCATCTTCCCTCTTTCCAATCTGCTGTGGGATGTAAAGGTCTTAGTGACGAGGGACAATGCTTGCTGTTTCCATCTGCGCTTACCGGAGTGGCCTTGAATTGGTTCTACAGATTGGAACCAGAAGCAGTAGATTCCTTCGACGAGTTGAAATAGATTTTTCTCAATCACTTCATGATCCAGACGGACCGTTTATATTCTGCCGATGATCTGTACACGATTCGGCAAAGGGAGGACGAGCCCCTAAGGGAATACGCTGCAAGTTTCAGTTACTAGTACTCAAGGTGTCCAGAAACGGATGACAGGGCAGCCTACAGTACCTTCAAGAGTGGCCTTCGGTCCTCACACTTTCGGTACCTAGTACACAATAGCAACTGGCGCACCTATGACGAACTAATGAAGCAAGCGGCAATCCACGCCAAGGCTGAATACTTCAACTCAAAGTCTGGGCCTTTGGCTCGGCAGGAGGAACTGGCGTTGAAGAATTATTTGGCGCATGAGCCATTGTACCCTCCAAACGAAAGAACTGATCAGTATTCAGCAGGCCACAAAAGGAAAGACAACCATGATGCTCGGCAGGGGCACTCAAAGAAAGGAAAAGGGAAGTACAGTCGCAACGACCACCGAGTGCCGTTACCGAATCATGAATGCAGTCAGGAAGTTTTCACTTTGCTGAATACTACCTATGAAGCCGTTCTAATGAACGAGCAAAAGATAATACCCAAACCGGTCAACTGGAAACCTAATCGGCAGGATAATCGAGACACTGGGAAGTTCTGCCGATACCATCAACACAATAGCCATAATACCGAAGAGTGCATAAGTCTGAGGAAAATCATCGAGTGTTTGATTCGGGAGGGAAAACTGGACCAGTACGTTGCCAGACCACCACAAGCGCCAGCTCCGAACGTGAATCGGCAGATTAATATGATCAACACCATCAGTAGAGGTCCCACTTTTGCCGGTATATCCAACCGGTCAAGGAAGCAGTACATTCGACCAGAACAATACCCTCAGGTCTTTGGAATAGAGGTAAATCGGCATCATAAAACACAGAGGGTTAGGTGGGAACCTATCACGTTTTGCGAGGA